GAGAAAAGGATGGAAGGATCCTGTTCATATGGACCTGTCGTCAGACAGAACACTAAATAATAAGATCAGTTGTTACGTGTTTATTTGTCAACATTTCAAATCTGTATAATACGCGGATGTTGGCTGATGGCTTAATGGTTGGTTCGTCGTTTGCAGTTGGGGATTTCGGGCCTAATTGGATAATATTTGACTTCAGATCCTCTCGTCATTTCTTGACGGAAAGTTTACTACTGATCTATATAGACGGAGCAAGGCGATTGCTCGATATCAAGACTGGAATGACGGTTTCGAAATTTTCTCGAGGCATATCTGCCTTGTGTTGTTCTGTGTAGATTTGAAGCCTTGCAACGAGCCGACCGCCTGTCCAAGGAGTCTTGCCAAAATACCTTTCGGAGATTGTTTCCCAATTAATTCTAATTTGGGCAGAATAGAGGAAACAACGAGAAATATTCCTCTGGTTGTGTTTTGTACTCTCAGTTACTAAATTGCATTTGCATTTTATCGATTGTGCGAGATCGATTTACGTACTTTCGGGTTGTTGGAACACGAAACCGTCATTGAAATGCGTTGTTTGGTTGTTTCTGAGTGAAAATTTTACGTTTTGTGTTGACAGTGTCTAACCATTTTCCACGTTATTGTTTTTACAGGTCAAATGTGCGTACATTTAGCGGCCATTGGAGGTCATGTGGATATTTTAAGGCATCTCGTGTGGTTCGGAGCCAACATCAATGCTAGGGTAGGTATTTCCACAATTTTCTTATGTTTTACAGCATCATTCGGAGTCATTAATAGACGTTATATAAATCTCCGTTTCAATCAGCTACTTGGCTAGAATCTCCGTGTGTCGTCGTGTCTTCGTCGGTCTCCCCCTCCGGCCATAGCTCGTCGCGCGGGGAAGCCCCATATCAGGTCACTAAACTCGAACGTTCCGGAAAACGTTTTTAACATGGAAATCCCGCGTAGAGCTCTCTGTCGGTGTGCGTGCTAGCATGGCGGCCTCATACGACTATCTCCAGCTCTCTCTCGCACTCGGGTTATTCCATGGTTTGAGTTACAGGGTGCCCCGAAAAAGTTTACTCACTGGAAAGTCCTTGTTTGAAGTGATTTGAAAAAACACGTGCGAGATATTGTCTGTGGTCTTGCGTATCGGGGGGTGGAGGGGAGGTTTATATTTACATTTAATTTTATTTGTTGTGTAAATTTGTCCCCACGTGATCTCTTTACTTCGATATATTTTTTTTTTCTGAAACTTTGTGTGGATTTCTCGTGTCTCGCACGAGAAATATCTATTGATAGATATTCTAAATCTTTTTTTTTCGTAACTTTAACACACAAAAAAAGGAATTAGATTCGGTTGTGTTGGTAGACGTGGGAGGGGGGAGAGACAGATGTAATTATTCTTGTTTCCGTCTGTAGGATGGTAAAGGTGGTAGAACGGCAATGCATTACGCAGTTGAGTATGGAATCCAGAAGGTCGCTAAATTCCTCCTCGAAGAATGCCTCGTTGGTCCGAGAGCGGTGCAGCTAGAGATGCCAACCTACGCTGGGTACACGGCGTACCAACTTGCAGCCTGCAATGGCTCGGCTCTGACAGTGGAGCTCGCAGATAAGGGTGCCCTCCGCAGGAACATGCCCGAGGACGAAGAATCCGATTCAGACTTTAGTGACGAAGAGGTGAGAACTTGAATTGGTGCATTTGACCTTTTATATAAAAAAAAAATTGAGAGTTGTGAAGCGATTCGAAAGGAATGGCAGCTGAGTTGTATGTGTCGTGACAGTAGGGAGTCAGGACGGTGCTCGAAATGATCCCCCAATTCTTTTGATCACGGAAAAAGTTCCACTTGACAGTTTCAACAGCGAAAATCGAAGTATGGTCGCCATATCTGATTATTCTTCGGTAGAATCGTAAATTATTCCAAATGGTGCCCGCTTACTTTGCCGTAGTTAGTTAAAAATGGTTTCCTGTTCGACTCACGATGTTTTTTGGAGGTCATGGTCACTTGGACATTTCTATGAATCTTGGTTAGTATCCCGATGCCATGTTTGTGAACAGATCTGGACGTTAATCCCTGTGAGGTTTTTTTTTTTCGTTGTGGAATCACGAAGGAGAAACTGTTCTGTCGTTGGAACTCGTCCAACTGTGTCAGAAGAACTGTATAGTGTGTGTCGTGCCACGAACCAGTCAATAATTTATATATTTGACTTTTGAAAGACGTACCTCACGGTAGCCACGTTAATCACGTGAACACAAATCACAAACCTCCATGTTTTAGCGCGTATAATTTTTATAATTTCCGTATTTGAGTTTGTAAAGGGGATCATTTCGTGTTACCCGCGAGCATCGGTCCTCGTTCAGTGCCACCAGCGGTGTTCAGACTCGTGATTTAGTACTGACATTAAAGAGGTCGGTATGATTTAAGATTAAAAAATTTAATTTTTTTTTTCAGAGTAGATTTTAAGTCCTTTAACAACACTGGACTTGTTTAAATGAAACCAAAATGTCATACACATTTTCGTTGTTGAACTCTATATATACAGGGTGATTCAGAAGTATGTTTATAAACTTCGCGTACGTGTTCCAGGATCAGAAATAATAAAAGAGAATGTTCTTACGAACATGGGGTCGCAAATGTTTCATTTTCGAAATAATATTTTTGATCCAGGAACACGCACGCGAAGTTTGTAAACATACTTCTGACTCACCCTGTATATGGAAAAAATAAAATACGTATAAAATCCGCGAGTCTCGATTTTCGGATTATGAGGAACTGACGTGTGTCTTTTTTTTTCACCGACAGATGTACGGGATTTCATCTGACAATTATTTTAGCAGTCACAGACTCAACGGAGAGCCGATCGACATCAGAGCTTAAAATAACGCGATCAGCGCATCGAAATGAATGAGACGGCGACATAGATACGTGATGATTTGTGCAAGGCATGAAAAATGTATAATTCTTGTGCAGTTGGATAGGCAGGGCTGAGTTGGTTCTGATGTCATTGATAATTTTGTGACCTCCAAAAGCCTTTTGCCTCGACCTCCTCCCTCCTTTCCTCTTTTAACTTCGCGTAATTCCAAGGTTGTCGAGCGGGGAAATTGGTCAACAAGAGAGAGAGAGAGACTCGAGTCGCAAGGTAAGCAACCAGGATCGTCCTGACGATTCTGTTTCGACTTCACACGCAAATTTCTGGATGTGATTCCAGTGAGTTCCTACAGCTGATGGTACCGAATCTTTCGAGATGGCAAATTTCATTACTTTACTCTCTTAAAACACTTTGAAGTGTTTCTTAAGTCTTGTTAGCCAATTTCTCTCATCATTTTACTTTGTTGAACAAAAAATTTCTGCAACTTTTCTTTTTTGTTAAAAAAATATATAAGTTTTTAATAACAGTTCTTAACCACCCTTATTTGGGTTTAAAGTTAAAAAAAAAAAAATTTGGTTATTCGAACTGTGCTATCGTACGACTGACACAGAAAGGAACGGCCTTTGTAAGATTGTGCACCTGTGGATGACGTCAGGCTCGAACGCGCAGGCGCAGTGAGTCCTGTTCGTATCGTTCTATAACCTCAGCTGCTTTGTACCTGCGTTGATTCGTGCACGTACTTTTGTCACGTAAATATCTAGGGTGAAAATTAAGCTGGAAGCTCGTTATGTAGGCAAATGCAGAAGTCTACAAAACTTTATCCCAAAAATAAAAATGAAAATATTGATCTAAAAGCTAAGATATTGAATTATGATGTGAAATTGATAATATCAGACTCTTTAAAAAGCTGGAGCAATGATTCATCGTCATTTATTCTTTAGATAAATTCTAAAGGTACTTGGCTTATCGTCGTAAATGCTGGTAGGTAACCCGCAACATGATGGACACTGTTCCTAAGCGTTTATTAGTCATTTTGAAGGATCAGCGAAAGAATCAACAGATTCTTAAAGTAATTATTATTCATCAGATCTATCTCGAATATAAGAACGAACTCGCGTGAGATATTCAGTACGTTTCGCTGTTAACACGTTCACTGCCATACGCGTCGATCTACGTCGAAAATGTTGTTGGACGCATCTGGTTTTAAACTTTCACAAATGACGAAGGAAGCTTTGATGTATTCACTTTCTGTAAATATATTTGCCTCTTTCGACTACGTGTGTGAAAAAATGAAGGCAGAATTGGCGATAACCTTTAAATTTCACGCAATTTATGCTCGTGTAATATGTTTAGAAAAAGAAATCAGACGTTTTCAAGTGTTACGATTAAAATAATTATTACGTTGAATGGCTCGGAAGACAGTTTTGCCTTCGATGGTGCACTGAGCGATCCTTAATAGGCTCCACAATTCTGTTTGATGATAATTATACCAGAAAGGTTGTCGCCACAACATCTTTGGACTCTTATTTCTACAATTTCCTTTTCTGAATTGGTGTTTTTTTGTGTTATGTCGTACAGATTTATTTCTGTGTGCTCTGTATTTATTATAATGGTGCAGTTTGAATATAAAAAATGGCTAGGAAGTATGAAATATGTTAGGTTGAACGTCTGAAACTGTATGTACCTGTGCTAATTAATAAGTAGGACACGATGCTGAGGTGTTCTCTCAAGCTGACGATATAAATCAATTATTGTTATTTATTAAGAGTTCTGATTAAATATACTGTCGCTTAATGTGCCTTTTAAATAAGATGTAAGTTTCACGCGGAGATTACGACCAGAGTTAAACAGTGTTCTCGGGAATCTTAGTCAAGTTCAGTCACTGCCTTATTAATTTTTTGTTGTTGAATTTGGCAAATTAGAAAAGCTTGCACCAATTATTTATGTTTTTTTTTAAAAAATAAATAAATATCCGTTTATCTACGTGAGCAGATATATGAAGAACATTGTTTAACACACTGTGTTTCTAATAAAGAAGTATTTAGCTATTATTCAGGTACGTGTAAAGTATGTGAATATCCAGCAGTTGTCATGTTTAACAATCTCTTGTTTCTAGGGTTGATTTGTAAATAAATATATGTAACATTATTTTAGTAACAAAGAAACTTGCATTGAATAAAATGCGGTGAAAATATATTTGCATTTATTACGTCGTTCTTCGATGACAATTTCCCATAATTCCATAAGGCATTATTCTTTGTCAAACCGACTTTATATATTTTTATATATTTTATCCACAAAAAAAAGTCTTATTGATAGCAGAATCAAAGTTTAATGCACTGTTGGTAGACATTTTCGTATGTGAGAACAGAAGTAAAGTAACCCCCCCCCCAAAAAAAAAAAATATTTTTTTTTAAAACGTTAATGGGTTTTGAATCATGTTCATTTCAGATTTCATTTTCAGGTGCTTTGTTGTTAACGTGAGAAAAACAAAAGTTTGAGAATATGTTCGTCTTGGCACACGTAATGTACCAGCTGTTACAATGAATGAATCATTAATATTTCTTGTCATTCCCCATAATATGTGTCATTAAGGCATTCTGAAGTATGCCTCGTCTTGGGTTGGGGTTGTCCCATCCCAGGGCCTCTACAGACTAGTCATTACCCTCTACCAGCTGTTTAACGTCATGTTTGTTCAGGTGATCCAAGGCCCTCGAATTCTGAACAGAGGATTTTAGTTAAGTCGACTTAATATTTGTAGCCGAAATGACTGAATAAATGTTGTTACTGCTAGTCGATGGACTTCGGGTGTATTTCTACAAAATAATTCCAAGTTGATGAGTGGATTACGGTCGTGAATTTATTCGTGGAATTAACACAACTACGAAGTTACATGTCACATTCCCAGGTTTCAGTGGGCGCTCGGAGGATGGGAAGGGGGGAGAGTCGGGTGGGGATTCCCCGGGTTCAAAGAGCGGCTCGTGTTCAATGCGCAGTCCGCATGCTTCGGAAATCCCAGTGTTGTGTTGTGTTAACTTCGATCGATCTGTTATGCTAGCTGCCCCAACACGAATCGTATGAAGCCTTACCAAACATGGCACCAGAAGGCTGCTTGTACTAGGGGTTTCCAGCATCGGAGTTAAGACCCGAATGAGGGCTGGGGAGACCCTCGGTGGGTTCGCGAAGGGCTGAAGGTTCTTTTTATACACCGAAACCTCCCTTAGATATGAAATTGTGTTTACAAACAAGGCATGGCGGAACTAAGGATGGTTTGGACATGTAGCTCGAGTGGAGGACACACAATTTTTTTTGAAAGGCAGTTGGATAACATCGATAAGAATTATCATAGGGAAGTAAGACCGAAACGTCTGTGACGTTGCGGGAAAAAAACAAAATTATGTCACTACGTTTTTGTTAAACTGTGTTCATGTACGATCCACAGCCTTAGATTGGGTAACGCCTTGGAGTATAGTCCTTGAGAAACTGCCAGTCGCTTAGCTAATCATAAAATTACCACAATTTATCTAACCCAAAGTTCAACATGGTCTTAGACTCTCAGTTATTTCACTTGGCAGATGAATCCAGTCTGCATGTTTACATATTGCTTCGTTAGTGTTATCATCTTATTTACGTCTGGATTTATCAACTCGTGTCTTCACGTTTTCGTATTAAAATCGTCCATGCATTTAAACGTGGTCCTTTCCTTTCGAGGAGGAGAAGAAGTTATTTACTAGAGTTTTAGATCGGCTGATTCACATGAAAGTAACTGATGCCTATTTGTGACGTACGAAATTTGGGCACAGGATTACTTCCAGGAACTGCAGAAAAGTACACAAGATCTGTCATCAGAATAACCGGTCTCCGGGTCGAGGTTTTGAAAACTAAGCAGGCTTCATAGTCAATCTTTCGGGTTCTAAGTTGGACGTCTCCTCATTTACTATAATTTTTTTTCCCAATGTGTACATAATAATTTTCTGAGCGTGTTATGACTTATTTGTTTTCCAGTGAAACTGTTACTTATAACGAATAGATTTACAATTTTCCCAGTCTTATCACATAATAACACGTAAAATTATTATTATTAAAGTAGTAGTATATCCTGCTATTGATATGGATCGTATTTCGTAATTGAAGTTGGTAGTCATGTCTTGAGTTATTACGATATCTTTGTGTAGAGCGTAACATACATTTCCATCTGCCATGACCTTAATTGTTATAGGATTCACAGTTACTAACGTTACAGGCGTGGTCACTTTCAGTGGACAAACCAGACAGGTACAGTCGATTCCTGTTAATCGGGGACAAGAACACTCTGGCCCAATTAAACCGGAATTCTACTGTATTTCGTTTAGTACATTCTGAATTACGACTACTCGCTTTGAGGGTCATAATGTAAATATGGACTTCCGTTCGGACAAAGTAATCATGAATCAGAAAAATAAACATATTTTTTTTAATTTGCTGGAGCAAACCCCGTGTTTCGAGCCCCAGTTCCTGATTCTCTGTCACGTTTCTTGTCTAACCACTTAAAAGCCACAGTATTCAAGTTGGGTAAAACGATATTTAGTGTCTTCCTTTAGAAAACCAGGTTTAAGAACGTGCTTTGTGTTGTTCGTGCCTCGTATCACAACGCACAAAGAGTTTCGTCGAAAACGCCCCGGGTCCCACACTCTCGCTGACCTAAGATTCATGTTATCAACTACAGACGCTCTCTGTAGCCTAAAGAACGGGCCTGTGTTTCGGTTATCGGCCTTCAACTGTCGAATGGAGAGTTTCCTTGTCACTGTTACTAGTGGCGCTGTGGAGAATTTGAGGTTAGAGTTGGTATTCTCGTATTGCAAAGATCGTGTCAGTGCGTTTGGATTGATACAAAGTTAATTTTTGGAGCTCCACACCAAATGATGGTGGTATTTATGAAGCACTGTGTTGTCTGTCAGGTTCGAAAGTGGTTTCATTCAAAAGTATGCGTGTGAAAGTGAATGAGGCAGACTAATTTCTCCAACTATCGAAGCATGTGGCGAGTTTCCTGTAGCTGCTCGCTTGTTTCAAAAGAAGACAGAAAGGTAGGTTATGTTTGTCTATGTTCATTTCATGTGCTAGATTTACGTAGCCGTTTGACTGTTAACCGAGCAAGTTAGCAACGTCGCACTGACTTTTCATTGGCTGCTTTGTGTCGTGAATCGTATTAACTGCTTCATAATGTATTCTATTCATTTTCTATAGTCTAGAACGCTAGAATCCGACTTGCTACCTTAGTATGGTTCTTCAAAGTGTACTGGGGGTAAGCTAGTTAGCGGAATGGGATACTTGAGATGTGGGTGTTCGAAACCATAACATAAGTATTGCCAACTGCTCACTTCAAGAAAGACCTAGGACTTCATTGGTGTTACCAACATAAGAACTGAGACCTCTTATTAGGTTAGCTTAATAACAAAATTTTCACCAGACTATAAAATGCAGAAGTACAGAAGACAGCCATCTTCATCCTAAATATTGTATTTGTTGGAACATTTGAAGCTAATAGACGAGGTATTACTCTATCATGATTCAAGAACATGGACCATGCATTAGTGTGACAGTTTTGGACTAAATTTTCACCATATTTATCTCGAACAGAAGTAAGCTTTAGTAACAGAGGTTACGTCGTGGTTATAGCAATTGAAGTGAAAGCCTGAACAAGACCTATATATTAATCATAATACAATGAATTTCAAGGTCTTTTATGAAAATGTTAAACCTATTTATTCAGCAGTGGTGATTGAATGGACACATTAACCACTTCTCTTTCATTCTAACACGGATACCCTCAGCACCACAATCATAAATAATAACAACAACAACACATAAAGCGTTCGCATAGCTAAGTCCCGGAAACAGATCGAATGAGAAGCTGATATTTGCTGAGCTGTTCATGAAACGCGTGACTTTGATGGTAACCGAATGTTTATTTCCGTGTTTATAAGAATCCCCTATCCTGAGCCAGTTGAATCCAGTTCACAGTCTTAGGTGACTGACTATTATTTGATAGTAGAACACTGGATATCTATTCAGTACCGTAAAAAAATGTACTGGCAGAAGAATCCGACCTTCTCGTGGGTTCTTAGTGAAACGAACAGCTGAAATGTTTGTTTCTTAAGCGGTTGAACACATATTGAACATATCAAGCAAACTTCCGTGTGTCGCCGTAAAACACTTCCTGAAGAATGAAAAAAAAGGGTCACTTAGACGACTGTCCTGATAAGTCAATGCACTGCAAGATATTTTTTCTTACTAAGTGCAGGTTAGAAGGGGAAAGGATGTGACGTCACGCATGTCATTATTCTGTTGTTTAATGTCTTATAAGTGCCAAATAAGCCGCTGTGTATGCATTGAAGCATTTACAACTGATCCATATTGATCGCTTTATGCATTGTAGGTTATGTTTGATAAACACTATACTGAGGTCACTTTAACCGCAGTCATGTTTGTTTTCGTTCTTAATCATTGGTTACGTTTTTGACGGCAAATAATTTGGAACAAAAACAGATACCGAAATAAAAATAAATTTAAATAAGAACTGTGCCGTTTTTAAACTTGGCGAATGTTGTGCAATTCTCCGCTTAGTCGTGCGCGTATTTCTGGAGTCCCCCCAGTGAGTTGCCAGCCAAAATTCCAGAGCCCTCTGGCTATTTCGGGACGTTTTTGGTCTTCCTCACGACGGAAAGGATGTTGGCCGCGTTCCCAGTAGCTTTATCCGTGGCAAAACCCACCCCGACCTTTTCACTCATTTGTTTATTCATGTTGCGTTAAATCGAGGGGGAGGAGGGAGGTTAAACGAACTCTAGCCTCGGTTAAACTTTCTTCCACACAGATACTAATATGATTCTGTTGCCAGTTTTTTTGTAGTCCATAACTCGTGCTGTACAGCCCTGACATAAAAAAATCGTCCTTAGGCATTTTCACTGGAGAATTTATTAGGGCTGGCCATTTTTATGTTTGAATGTTTAATTCTGAAGTCAAAGGAATCCTAGAGTCGATTCTCGGACCACAGGTTGCCAATAACGACAGATGTACTCTGTAGTTTTAATAATAATAACTAATTAACCAGATGGCTTACCGAACACAAAGGTTCATCACCGAATTAACCAAAGCCCTCCACCGGACCCTGTCCTGGGCCAACAAAATCCAGTCTCCTTCAACTCCTATCTCCCATAGAT